TCACCAAACCACGCACGTCATCACGGACTCGCCCCCACCCCCCTCCCCATTGCTCCCATCCCATCGATTTCATTCATCTACTAATACCAATAGGCCCGCCATTCGCCACGTAAGCGGCGGCGACGTCACCGCTGCACCCGTGCCAGGCTAGGTGCACTCTGAGGGCGTCACGTGAAGTGTCAAAGGCTCGCCGCTGGCAGGAGGTCACGGGGCAGAACCAGCAGGTGCCACGTGTCGACTGACTGAGATGACTGGGCAGATGCACCACCTGTGCCTCCCCTACTGTGCCAGGCTAGGTGCACCAGGAGGTCACGGGGCAGACCCAGCAAGTGCCACGGGTCTACCGACTGAGATGACTGGGCAGATGCACCACCTGTGCCCCCCTACTGTGCCAGGCTAGGTGCACCAGGAGGTCACGGGGCAGACCCAGCAAGTGCCACGGGTCGACTGACTGAGATGACTGGGCAGATGCACCACCTGTGCCTCCCCTACTGTGCCAGGCTAGGTGCACCAGGAGGTCACGGGGCAGAACCAGCAAGTGTCACGGGTCTACTGACTGAGATGACTGGGCAGATGCACCACCTGTGCCTCCCCTACTGTGCCAGGCTAGGTGCAGGAGGAGGTCATGGGGCAGACCCAGCAGGTGCCACGGGTCTACTGACTGAGATGACTGGGCAGATGCACCACCCTGTGTCCCCTACAGTGCCAGGCTAGGTGCACCAGGAGGTCACGGGACAGACCCAGCAGGTGCCACTGTGTTGACCGACTGAGACGATTGCTTACCAATGCACCAGCCAGCCATGCCCACCCCCCCCTGCTGTGCCAACTCCTCATCCTCCTGCTCCACCAGAGGGCGATCTTGACACCGCTGGTACCAGCCCCTCCATCAACCACGCCCCTCACACCGCCCGTCAGCAACAACAACAACAACAAACAGCCGGCATTCGCCACTCAAGTGACGGTGACGTCACCACGGCGCATGTGCCAGGCTAGGTGCACGTTAAGGCAACGTGAACGTGTCGAAGGCTCGCTGCTAAAAAGGTGGTCTCGGGACAGACCCAGCAGGTACCATGGGTTTGGCTGACCTCATCTGCCAGCATTGTTGTGCCATTGTTAAATCTGTGTAGAGGGCCTTCGTTGAGGTTAAGGCGCCATCTATATCCATCCCTTTAACATATCACGTGGGCCTTTAAAATGTTACAAAAAAAATGTATCGCTTTTTAAAACGTCGACCTCTCCACGGCTGCTGTACTATACTATACTACACTATACACTGCACGATAATTGTAAATATTGTGTAGTGAGTTTACTCTCCAACACAACGACCGATGTGGTGCTGTACTAGTATACTACACTATACACTACATTAAACACTGCACGATAATTGTAAATATTGTGTAGTGGGTTTACAACACAACGACCGGTGTGGTACTGTACTAGTATACTACATTATACACTACACTATACACTACACTATATACTACACTACACTATATACTACACTATACACTACACTATACACTGCACGATAATTGTAAATATTGTGTAGTGGGTTTACTCTCCAACACAACGACCGGTGTGGTGCTGTACTAGTATAGTACACTATACACTGCACTATACACTACACTATATACTACACTATACACTACACTATACGCTATTCTACTTTACACTACTCTACACTATACACTGCACTATACACTACACTATATACTACACTACACTATACACTATATACTACACTACACTATGCACTACACTATACACTATTCTACTTTACACTACTCTACACTATACACTACACTATACACTACACGATAATTGTAAATGTTGTGTTTACTCTCCAACACACAGCAACCGATGTGGTGCCGAGGCTCGTAACGAATTGGCCACGTGTCGTTCACGTGACACAACCCTTACGAACTGGGCTGTGTGTTGGGTGGTGGTGGTGGTGACCTGTTTAACGACGCGACATTCATAATTACGCGATCTCACGCAACAAACAAATAACACAACAACAACAATAACAACACTTACTCTGTTATCGAATTTATTGGAATAAGAAAAAAAAAGTGCTGAACTCAAAATGTAACAATAATTATGGGGAACAAAGTTACTCTTTTTTAGGGGGGGGGGGGGGTGGCGGTTGTGGGCTGGGGGGGTATCTGTACGGTCAACCACACGTGGTGTGTGCCCCCCCCCCCCCAATCTCCCCTCCACCCTTTCCCCCCATTGTGTACAGCAGGGCGGAGTCGGTGCCTCGCCCCCCACTATCAACCTCCTCACCCCCCCCCCCCATCAAACCCGCCCCTCACCCCCCCACTCCCTCACCACCCCCCACTCCCCTCCATCACCCCCCCCCCACTCCCTCACCACCCCCCACTCCCCTCCATCACCCCCCCCCCACTCCCTCACCACCCCCCACTCCCCTCCATTACCCCCCCACTCCCCTCCATTACCCCCCACTCCCCTCCATCACCCCCCCCCCACTCCCTCACCACCCCCCACTCCCCTCCATTACCCCCCCACTCCCCTCCATTACCCCCCACTCCCCTCCATTACCCCCCACTCCCCTCCATCACCCCCCCCCCACTCCCTCACCACCCCCCACTCCCCTCCATCACCCCCCCCCCCACCCACTCCCTCACCCCCCTCACCCCCCCACTCCCTCACCCCCCCACTCCCCCCCCACTCCCTCACCCCCCCCACTCCCTCACCACCCCCACTCCCTCATTCCCCATCACTCCCTCCATAACCCCTCCCCTCACTCCCTCCATCAACCCCCCATCACTCCCCCCCCGTCAACCCCGCCCCACACACCGCAGGTCAACAACAACAACAGCCGCCATTGGCCACTAAGTGGCGGTGACGTCACCACGGCGCCTGTGCCAGGCTAGGTGCAGGAGGAGGTCACGGGACAGACCCAGCAGGTGCCACAGGTCGACATACTAAGATGACTGACCGATGCACCAGCTGTGCCCCCCTCTGTGCCAGGCTAGGTGCAGGAGGAGGTCACGGGGCAGACTCAGCAGGTGCCACGGGTCGACCTACTAAGATGACTGACTGATGCACCACCTGTGCCCCACTCTGTGCCAGGCTAGGTGCAGGAGGAGGTCACGGGACAGACTCAGCAGGTGCCACGGGTCGACATACTAAGATGACTGACCGATGCACCAGCTGTGCCCCCCTCTGTGCCAGGCTAGGTGCAGGAGGTCAGGGGACAGACCCAGCAGGTGCCACGGGTCGACTGATTAAGATGACTAACAGATGCACCACCTGTGCCCCACTCTGTGCCAGGCTAGGTGCAGGAGGAGGTCACGGGACAGACTCAGCAGGTGCCATGAGTCGACTGACTAAGATGACTAACAGATGCACCACCTGTGCCCCTCTCTGTGCCAGGCTAGGTGCAGGAGGAGGTCACGGGACAGACCCAGCAGGTGCCACGAGTCGACTAAGATGACTGACCGATGCACCACCTGTGCCCCCACTGTGCCAGGCTAGGTCCAGGAGGAGGTCACGGGGCAGACCCAGCAGGTGCCACGGGTCGACTGACTGAGATGACTGGGCAGATGCACCACCTGTGCCCCCCACTGTGCCAGGCTATGTGCAGGAGGAGGTCACGGGACAGACCCAGCAGGTGCCACGAGTCAATTAAGATGACTGACCGATGCACCACCTGTGCCCCCTATGGTGTCAGCTTGCTGTGCTTTGAGCCACCTGTCAACCCCAGCCCCCATTCCCACAATCAACACTGCCAAATCATCAATTGACCAATATTGAGTACACGGACAATGATGCTGATGATGATTCGAGTGATGCTGATCCCAATTCGTGATGTTGTTGCTACTCATGTTGCTGCTGCTGTTGATGATGTGGATGGTTACTGATGACGGGTGATGTTGATGATGTTATCGATGCTGTTTAATGATGATGATGATGAACCCTACTGACACTGCCGTTGATGATGATGTCACTGATGGTGGTTGATGTTGATGATGTTGCTGATGATGATGATGACCGTGATATTGCATCGACGCAGACAATGTACGATGCGCTGGCGGCGGCGGTGTTGTTTGAGGAGCGGTGGCGCTGCGGTTAGCACGCTGCTGCTGCTACAAGACCTGACGAAGCGAGTTCAATCCCCAATCACGCCCAACCAACACCATTGACGATTTATCTGAAACAGATCCTCGTTGGCAGAACGTTGGTGCCGACGTTGTGCCAACGTTGGGCAGACGTTGGGCAGACGTTGGGCCCGACGTTGTGCCGACGTTCGGCGAACGTTGAGCTGACGTTGACCGGACCGTCACAGGGGGAGGCAGTGTGGCGACTGTGTGCGTGCGTGTTCCCTCCGCTCCGTTTAAGGCCGAAGGAAGATTTTGTCCACAGCTCTGCGGCTGTCCGCCTGATGACGACGCTGCTTGCTGTTGTCGTTGTTGTGGTTGTTGTTGTGGTGGTTGTTGTGGTTGTTGTGGTTGTTGTTGTGGTTGTTGTTGTGGTTGTTGTTGTTGTGGTTGTTGTTGTGGTTGTTGTTGTGGTTGTTGTGGTTGTTGTTGTGGTTGTTGTGGTTGTTGTTGTGGTTGTTGTTGTGGTTGCTGTTGTCGTTGTTGTGGTTGTTGTTGTGGTTGTTGTGGTTGTAATGGGTTTAACTCTCCAAACACACAGCCGTTGTGGTGCTGTACTCGTAACGAATTGGCCACGTGTTGTTTACGCGACACACAACCTCACCGATTGGCTGTGTCGGGTGGTGGCGGGTTTAACGACACAACATTTATACATTTACGCGATCTAACCGTCCCACTCCTCCCCCCCCCCCTCTAAAAAAAACCCAACAACAACAACCTGTATTGTGGATGATACTGTTCGCGAAAGCCCTGACATTTTTTCTCCGATCTAACTCATCAACAACAACAATAACAACCCTCCCACTCCTCCGCCCCTCCCTCTCAAACATTGACATTTTTACTCCCAGCTAACCCATCATCAACAACAACAACCTGTATTGTGGATGATACTGTTCACGAAAGCCCTGACATTTTTACTCCGATCTAACTCATCAACAACAACAATAACAACCCTCCCACTCCTCCGCCCCTCCCTCTCAAACATTGACATTTTTACTCCCAGCTAACCCATCATCAACAACAACAACCTGTATTGTGGATGATACTGTTCACGAAAGCCTTGACATTTTTACTCCGATCTAACTCATCAACAACAACAATAACAACCCTCCCACTCCTCCGCCCCTCCCTCTCAAACATTGACATTTTTACTCCCAGCTAACCCATCATCAACAACAACAACCTGTATTGTGGATGATACTGTTCGCGAAAGCCCTGACATTTTTACTCCGATCTAACTCATCAACAACAACAATAACAACCCTCCCACTCCTCCGCCCCTCCCTCTCAAACATTGACATTTTTACTCCCAGCTAACCCATCAACAACAACAACAACCTGTATTGTGGATGATACTGTTCACGAAAGCCCCGACATTTTTACTCCGATCTAACTCATCAACAACAACAATAACAACCCTCCCACTCCTCCGCCCCTCCCTCTCAAACATTGACATTTTTACTCCCAGCTAACCCATCATCAACAACAACAACAACCTGTATTGTGGATGATACTGTTCGCGAAAGCCCTGACATTTTTACTCCGATCTAACTCGTCAACAACAACAATAACAACCCTCCCACTCCTCCGCCCCTCCCTCTCAAACATTGACATTTTTACTCCCAGCTAACCCATCATCAACAACAACAACCTGTATTGTGGATGATACTGTTCACGAAAGCCCTGACATTTTTACTCCGAGCTAACCCATCAACAACAACAACAACCCCCAACCCCTCCTCTCCCCCTCTACTGCTTGTGGCCCACAGCGGCACCTTGCCCGTCACCGTTGGGCGCCTGCGTCGCCCCGGGCTGCCCGGGGGGCGCCGTGCCCACGCGCGCCCTGCGGGCAAGGCGCTTGCGGGCTGCCCCGTAGACGCCGCCCGCGACGGCGATGAGCACCGTGAGGGCGCCCAGGACGATGCCCGCGACGCAGCCCGACTCGCACGAGCCCAGCGGGAATGACGGGTCCCAGCCTGGGTACTCTGTGGTAGGGGGAGGTGATGCAGGGGGGAGGTGATGCAGGTGTGAGCCGACAGGGCACGTGGTGAGGTGTGATTATGGTGTGTGTGTGGTGTGTGGTGTGTGTGGTGTGTGTGTGCCGTGTGTGTGTGCCTTGTGTGTGTGTGTCGTGTGTGTGTGCCTTGTGTGTGTGTGCCGTGTGTGTGTGCCGTGTGTGAGTGTGTGTGTGGTGTGTGTATGGTGTGTGTCTGTGTGGTGTGTGTATGGTGTGTGTCTGTGTGGTGTGTGTGGTGTGTGTAGTGTGTGTGGTGTGTGTGTGTGGTGTGTGTGTCGTGTGTGTGGTGTGTGGTGTGTGCCGTGTGTGTGTGGTGTGTGTGGTGTGTGCCGTGTGTATGGTGTGTGTGTGGTGTGTGTGTGGTGTGTGTATGGTGTGTGTCTGTGTGTGGTGTGTGTAGTGTGTGTGGTGTGTGTGTCGTGTGTGTGGTGTGTGTGTGTGGTGTGTGCCGTGTGTGTGGTGCGTGTGTGTGGTGTGTGTGTGTGGTGTGTGTGTGGTATGTGTGCGGTGTGTGTGGTGTGTGTGTGATGTGTGTGGTGGGTGTGTGGTGCGTGTGTGGTGTGTGCGGTGTGTGTGGGGTGTGTGTGGTGTGTGTGTGTGGTGTGTGTGTGGTGTGTGTGTAGTGTGTGTGGTGTGTGTGTGTGTGGTGTGTGTGGTGTGTGTGTGTGGTGTGTGCCGTGTGTGTGGTGTGTGTGTGTGCCGTGTGTGTGTGCTGTGTGCGTGTGCCGTGTGTGTGTGTGTGTATGGTGTGTGTGGTATGTGTGTGTGGTGTGTGTGTCGTGTGTGTGTGTCGTGTGTGTGTGTGCCGTGTGTTTGGTGTGTGTGTGTAGTGTGTGTGGTGTATGCCGTGTTTATGGTGTGTGTGTGGTGTGTGTGGTGTGTGTGTCGTGTTTGTGTGCCGTATGTGTGTGTGCCATGTGTGTGTGCCGTGTGTGTGTGTGCCGTGTTTATGGTGTGTGTGTGTGGTGTGTGTGGTGTGTGCCGTGTGTATGGTGTGTGTGTGGTGTGTGTGGTGTGTGTGTGGTGTGTATGGTGTGTGCCGTGTGTGTGTGTGGTATGTGTAGTGTGTGTGGTGTGTGTGGTGTGTGTGTGTGGTGTGTCTGTGTGGTGTGTGTGGTGTTTGTAGTGTGTGTGGTGTGTGTGGTGTGTGTAGTGTGTGTGGTGTGTGCGGTGTGTGTGTGTGTGTCGTGTGTGTGGTGTGTGTGGTGTGTATGGTGTGTGTGTGTGGTGTGTGTTGTGTGTGTGTGTGGTGTGTGTATGGTGTGTATGCTGTGTGTGGTGTGTGCCGTGTGTGCCGTGTGGTGTGTGTGTGTGTGTCGTGTGTGTGGTGTGTGTATATGGTGTGTGTGTATGGTGTGTGTGTGATGTGTGTGTGGTGTGTGTGTGGTGTGTGTGTGTGGTGTGTATGGTGTGTGTGTATGGTGTGTGTGTATGGTGTGTGGTGTGTGTGTGGTGTGTGTGTCGTGTGTGTGTCATGTGTGTGTATGTGCCGTGTGTATGGTGTGTGTGTGGTGTGTGTGTGGTGTGTATGGTGTGTGTGTGGTGTGTATGGTGTGTGTATGGTGTGTGTGTGTGGTGTGTGTGTGTGGTGTGTGTGTGGTGTGTGTATGGTGTGTGTGGTGTGTGTGTGTATGGTGTGTGTGTGTGTATGGTGTGTGTATGGTGTGTGTGTGGTGTGTGTGGTGTGTGTATGGTGTGTGTGGTGTGTGTGTGCCGTGTGTGTGTGCATGGTGTGTGTGGTGTGTGTGTATGGTGTGTGTGTGGTGTGTGTATGGTGTGTGTGTGGTGTGTGTGTATGTGTATGGTGTGTGTGTATGGTGTGTGTGGTGTGTATGTGTGTGTGGTGTGTGTGTGTATGGTGTGTGTGTGCGTGGTGTGTGTGTGGTGTGTATGGTGTGGTGTGTGTGGTGTGTGTGTGGTGTGTATGGTGTGTGTATGGTGTGAGTATGGTGTGTGTGGTGTGTGTGAGGTGTGTGTGGTGTGTGTATGTGTGTGTATGTGTGTATGTGTGTGTATGGTGTGTGTATGGGGTGTGTGTGGTTTGTGCCGTGTGTGTGTGTGTGTGGTGTGTGTGTGGTGTGTGCCGTGTGTGGTGTGTGTGTGGTGTGTGCCGTGTGTGTGTGTGGTGAGGGTGCCGCCCGCCTTACCTCGGACCTCTTCCAGGCTTTGATTTCCTGCGCACAGAGCACAAACAACAACAATTAGACCAACAACAATTAGAACAACAATTAGAACTACAACAGTTAGAACAACAATTATAACAACAATTAGCCCAATAACAATTAGACACACAACAATTAGAACAACAATAATTAGAACAACAACAGTTAGAACAACAACAATTATAACAACAACAATTAGAACAACAGCTGCAACAATTAGAACACAACAATTAGAAGAACAGTTCCAACAACAACAATTTGAACAACAATTATACTAAAAACAACAACAATGTAGTAGTAGCTACTATGTAGTAGTAGCTACTACTACATGTGTAGTAGCTACATGTGTAGTAGGAGCTATATACATGTGTGTATGTATCTACTATACATGTGTGTATGTAGCTACTATACATGTGTAGTAGTAGCTATTACATATGTAGTAGCTGCTACTACACATGTAACAGCTACACATGTAGTAGCTACTACTACATGTGTAGTAGTAGCTAGTAGTAGCCACTACTACATATGTAGTAGCTACTACTACACGTGTAGTAGCTATGGGCCCCGCACTTTCAAGGGCCCCGCGCTAAACGCTTTCAAGCTATCGATTCCGGTTCAGTGATTCTGCACTTGCTCTATTACTATAGTACTACACCGCCTTCAACTTTTCTGAACGACCGGGTGAATAAGTCTAGCGATTTGTCGTATTATCTGGGCTGTGTAGCAAATGGAAATATACAATTACTTTATTACACAAGGTAAAAATTCGTGTGTGTATTTATTACTTAGAGCCCCTTTATAACATCACACGGCACCTTCATCCAGCACTGGGCTTGGGTCGGTTGTGGGGGGTGGAGGGAGTCACAACACAGGCGGTTGTGGGTGGTGGAGGGATTCACGACACAGGCGAGTGTGGGTGGTGGAGGGATTCACGACACAGGCGAGTGTGGGTGGTGGAGGGATTCACGACACAGGCGAGTGTGGGTGGTGGAGGGATTCACGACACAGGCGAGTGTGGGTGGTGGAGGGATTCACGACACAGGCGAGTGTGGGTGGTGGAGGCACTCACGACACGGGCGAGTGACACAGGCGAGTGTGGGTGGTGGAGGCACTCACGACACGGGCGAGTGTGGGTGGTGGAGGGACTCACGACACAGGCGGTTGTTGCATCGATCTTGGCAGACGGCACAGGACGGTCCAGGTGAGTAAGGCTGCCGGGGGAAGTTCCCGCTGAGCCGGGGGGTGGGGGGGGGAGAGCAGGGGGGGTAGGGGGTGTCGAGGGTCACCATCACCATCATCATCACCACCATACAGTGAGGGAAAAAGTATTTGACCTCCTGCTGATTTTGTACGTTTGCCCACTGACAAAGAAATTACTACATAGTAGCTACTACTACATGTGTAGCAGTTACATGTATAGTAAGAAATTATCAGTCTATAATTTTAATGGTAGCTTTATTTGAACAGTGAGAGACAGAATAACAACAACAAAATCCAGAAAAACGCATGTCAAAAATGTTATAAATTGATTTGCATTTTAATTAGGGAAATAAGTCTTTGACCCCCTCTGCAAAAGATGACTTAGTACTTGGTGGAAAAACCCTTGTTGGCAATCACAGAGGTCAGACGTTTCTTGTAGTTGGCCACCAGGTTTGCACACATCTCAGGAGGGATTTTGTCCCACTCCTCGTTGCACTACACTACTATACACTACACTACCATACACTACACACTACTATACACTACTATACTGCACCACCACCACCATAGCCGGCGCATTTCGTCATTTGGTGGTGGTGGCGGTGGTGATGGTAGTGGCGGCGGTGGTGGGGGTGGTGGTGGTGGTGATGCTGGCGGTTGTGACGGTGATGGTAATGATGATAGTGGATGTAGTGGCGATGGTGGCTGTGATGGTGGTGGTGGTAGCGGTTGATGTTAGTGATTGTAGTGGTGGTGAGCGGTAGTGCAGTGTGTGGTGGGTAGCGCTACGCTGCACTAACGAACCCGGAGACCCGAGTTCTATTCCCGCTCACGGCCAACACCGGTGACGATTATCCGAACCGGTCCGGGGCCTCCCCTAGGGCGACTCAGCCTCAAATTGAGTACCTGGTGCGGTGCGTAGTAAACATCGCCACTGGGGGAGTAGCGGCTAACAGCACTTGCCGCAACAGTCCGTTAAGGCTACACGGGGGATCTTTGCCTTTGCTGTCTTGTATTGGTATGGGGCCGTCCATATATGACGTCACCCTCGTCACACGGCGTCACAAAAAGTCAGACCCCCCCCTCCTCAAATATGACGTCACAAAGCTCTGCTCCCCCCCAAAAAAATATAAACCATGCTTCAAATCGCTTTAAAATACTGTCATTTTAGTGCGTATTTAATATGGCGCTGCACTCTGATGTTGTAGGTGGAAAACATTTATCAAAAAGCCTACTTAATTAGAACGTGTTTGTCTATATTTATTTAAAGTTGCGCATTTCGACGTGACGTCACATTTCTCACCCTCCCCCCCACCTCCCCCCCCCTCTTGTCACACATCGTCACAAATGTCTGACCCCCCCCCCCACGCCCCTAGGTGCGTGACGTCATTTATGGACGGCCCCTAAGTGCGTAGGTTAGCGTATGTGTGCGTAGGCGTTCGTTGGCGTTCGTAGGCGTGTGTAGGTTTGTGTAAGTGTGCGTAAGTGTGCATAGGTGCGCGTAAGTAGGTGGTGCCACCGACACATGGCGCCCGCCCGTCCGCCCGCCTACCTGGGTCCGTAGTTACACACGAAGATGGTGGTGTCGGGGCGGTCCATCCAGGGGAAGTCCTTCATGCCGCTGGGACAGACGTGGACGGCGCAGCCGACCTTGTAGCTGTCATCCCACACCACCTGCACCAACACCAACACCATCAGCACTGTCATCACCACCACCACTACCACCACCATCACTGTCATCACCACTACCACCACCACCACCATCACTGTTACTATCATCACCACACCACCTGCACCAACACCAACACCATCATCACTGTACTCACCAACACCAACACCACTACCACCACCATCATCACTGTCATCATCACCACCACTACCACCACCACTACCACCACCACGATCACTATTACTATCATCACCACACCACCTGCACCAACACCAACACCATCATCACTGTCATCACCACTACCACCACCACTACCACCACCAACACCATCATCACTGTCATCACCACCACCACTACCATCACCACTACCACCATCATCACTGTCATCATCACTACCACCACTACCACCACCAACACCACCACCATCATTACTGTCATCACCACCACCACCACAACCACTACCACCACCAACACCATCATCACTGTACTCACCACCACCACTACCACCACTACCACCACCACCACCTGCACCAACACCATCATCACTGTCATCACCACCACCACCACTACCACCACCAACACCATCATCACTGTACTCACCACCACCACCACTACCACCACCACCACGATCACCATTACTATCATCACCACACCACCTGCACCAACACCAACACCATCATTATTATCACTGTCCTCACCACCACCACTACCACCACCACCACCACCATTACTATCATCACCACACCACCTGCACCAACACCAACACCATCATTATTATCACTGTCCTCACCACCACCACTACCACCACCACGACAACCATTACTATCATCACCACACCACCTGCACCAACACCAACACCATAATTATTATCACTGTCCTCACCACCACCACCACCACCATTACTATCATCAACCCACACCACCTGCACCAACACCGCCATCATCATTACTGTCCTCACCACCACCACTATCACCACCACCATTACTATCATCCCACACCACCTCCACCAGCACCACCACCATCATCACTGTCATCACCACCACCACCTCCACTACCACGACCACAACCACCGCCACCATCATTACTATCATCCCACACCACCTGCACCACCACCGCCACCATCAGTATTACTGTCCTCACCACTACCACCACTACCACTACCAAGACCACCACCAACTCCACTACCACGACCACCATTACTTACATCACCACCACCTGCACCACCACCGCCACCATCACCACCATCATTACTGTCCTCACCACTACCACCACCACCACTACCACCACCACCACTACAACCACGACCACCACCATTACTATCATCACCACTACCCCCTGCCAGTGACGATTATCTGAACCGGTCCTGGGCCTCCCCTAGGTCGACTCAACCTCAAATGAGCACCTGGTGCGGTGTTTTAACATCGCCACCTGGGAGACAAAGGCGGCCGGGCGTGGTGCTGGCCACCCACCACCTCGTGTGCCGTGCCGGCCTTCATAGGTGCTCGCTAACAGCACTTGCCCCTACAGTCTGTTAAAGGCTACCTGGGGGATCTTTGTCTTTTTTGTGTGCGTGTGCGTCACTGAGTGTGACACTCCTCTCCGAACCCGGCGACCCGAGTTCGATTCCCGCTCACGGCCAACACCGGCGACATTCATCTGATCCGGTGCCAGGGCCTCCCCTAGGTCGACTCAGCCTCAAACCGAGCGCCCTGCGCGGTGTGCCTTGAACGTCGTCACTCGGATTACAAAGGCGGCCGGACGTAGTGCTGGCCACCCACTCACCCCCTCGTGTGCAGTGACGAACTTCACAGATGCTGCTCGCTAACAGCCCTAGCCCCGATGCAATGCTAAAGGTTAAACGGGGGGGGGGGGGGGAGCGGAGGGGCGGGGCGAGAGGGATCTTTAATCTGTATGCACAGATGTCTGTACGTTAAGGATTAAGGTGTGTGAGAGTCTGGGTGTGTTGCGGTGAGACCTCGACATCAGCCCCTCAAAAGCTAAGCACCTGCCTGGGTATTTTGTACCATCGGGCACTCCACCCCCACAACTCCCAATCGGTGATGGGGCAGTTGTGGAGAGAGTGGAGAGTTTCCCATACCTGGGCCCAGTGTGCTCATGACCGGCGCCGGTTTGACAGCAGAGGTCTCGCTCCGAATCAGTCGAGCGGCATTTATTTTTTCATCGGCTGCGTAACGCCGCGTGGAAGCTACCTGGTCTGTCGCTCCGCACGAAGCTTCAGGTCTTCTCGGCCACGGTCATTCCCTCCCTTCTCTACGCTTGCGAAACGTGGACCCCCCTAATGGAACATCTTCGCCGGTTAGAAACATTCAGGCTGGCCTGCCTACGATCCATCCTGGGTCTAACCAGGCTGGATTGTGTGAGGAGCTCACAAATCCTTGAAAGATCTGGACACAGTCCCATCGGTCAGCTCCTCCGGCAGGCAAGGCTGCGATGGCTGGGTCATGTAGCCCGCATGCCTAGCCACCGCATGCCCAAACAGCTTTTGTTCGGCCGGATCGAGGGGGCTAAACGGGCGCGGCACGGGCTAGAGAAGAGATGGAGTGATGTGGTACAGGAGGACGCGGAGCTGAGTGGACTTGCCGATGACCGATACCAGATTGGCCTCTGTAGAGGAGGCTGCTGAAGGACGTTGCTGCTGCTGCTGGGCAGTTGGAGGCAGTCACCAAACAGCAATAACGGAGGGTGGAGGAGCGACGCTCACAACAACGAGCGGAATGCCGGGTGGATAAAACACAACGGGTTGCCACAGGCGGGGGGCACAGGTGGTGCATCGGCCCGGTCATCTCAGTCTATAGTAGACCCGTGACCCCCTGCCAGCGGCGAACCTTTGACACTCAAAGTGCACCTAGCCTGGCACAGGCGCCGTGTGTTGACGTCACCGTCATTGGTATTGGTGTTTGAGGTCTGCCAGCTCCAACTGAGAAGGGAGTTTGAGACGCTGCTGCTGCTGCTAAACATGCAGCATGAAACACCGTCGAGAAACGGGGATTGCCTGGCTATCTTCGTGTCATCGAATGCTCCTCACCCCCCTCCTCCTCCTCCTCCTCCTCTCTCCCCTCCACTCCTGCAGGGATCGAGTGATGGGGCAGTCTTGGAGAGTGCGGGACACGTGAGTGTGCCCTCCGGGACAACTCTGCTCATTTGACCAACTGCGGTTCGGGAAGCAGAGGTGTCACTCCGAATCCGCCAGAGTTGCCCTGGAACTCCTCACCATCCTGGAACTCCTCACCATCCTGGCCCTCCTCACCATCCTGGCCCTCCTCACCATCCTGGCTCTCCTCACCATCCTGTCCCTCCTCACCATCCTGGCTCTCCTCACCATCCTGGAACTCCTCACCATCCTGGAACTCCTCACCATCCTGGAACTCCTCACCATCCTGGCTCTCCTCACCATCCTGGCCCTCCTCACCATCCTGGCTCTCCTCACCATCCTGGCTCTCCTCACCATCCTGGCTCTCCTCACCATCCTGGCCCTCCTCACCATCCTGGAACTCCTCACCATCCTGGCCCTCCTCACCATCCTGGCCCTCCTCACCATCCTGGCCCTCCTCACCATCCTGGCCCTCCTCACCATCCTGGCTCTCCTCACCATCCTGGCCCTCCTCACCATCCTGGCCCTCCTCACCATCCTGGCCCTCCTCACCATCCTGGAACTCCTCACCATCCTGGCCCTCCTCACCATCCTGGCTCTCCTCACCATCCTGGCTCTCCTCACCATCCTGGCCCTCCTCACCATCCTGGCTCTCCTCACCATCCTGGAACTCCTCACCATCCTGGAACTCCTCACCATCCTGGAACTCCTCACCATCCTGGCTCTCCTCACCATCCTGACCCTCCTCACCATCCTGGAACTCCTCACCATCCTGACCCCCTTCACCATCCTGGCTCTCCTCACCATCCTGACCCCCCTCACCATCCTGGGTCTCCTCACCATCCTGGCTCACCATCCTGGTCCACCTCACCATCCTGGCCCTCCTCACCATCCTGACCCTCCTCACCATCCTGGCCCTCCTCACCATCCTGACTCTCCTCACCATCCTGACCCCCCTCACCATCCTGGGTCTCCTCACCATCCTGGCTCACCATCCTGGTCCACCTCACCATCCTGGAACTCCTCACCATCCTGACCCTCCTCACCATCCTGGCCCTCCTCACCATCCTGACTCTCCTCACCATCCTGGCCCTCCTCACCATTCTGGCTCTTCTCACCATCCTAGAACTCCTCACCATCCTGGCTCTCCTCACCATCCTGGCTCTCCTCACCATCCTGGCCCTCCTCACCATCCTGGCCCTCCTCACCATCCTAGAACTCCTCACCATCCTGGCTCTCCTCACCATCCTGGCCCTCCTCACCATCCTGGAACTCCTCACCATCCTGGCCCTCCTCACCATCCTGGCCCTCCTCACCATCCTGGCCCTCCTCACCATCCTGGCCCTCCTCACCATCCTAGAACTCCTCACCATCCTGGCCCTCCTCACCATCCTGGCCCTCCTCACCATCCTGGCCCTCCTCACCATCCTGGCTCTCCTCACCATCCTGGAACTCCTCACCATCCTGGAACTCCTCACCATCCTGGCTCTCCTCACCATCCTGGCCCTCCTCACCATCCTGGCTCTCCTCACCATCCTGGAACTCCTCACCATTCTGGCTCTCCTCACCATCCTAGAACTCCTCACCATTCTGGAACTCCTCACCATCCTGGCTCTCCTCACCATCCTGGCTCTCCTCACCATCCTGGCTCTCCTCACCATCCTGGCCCTCCTCACCATCCTGGCACTCCTCACCATCCTGGCCCTCCTCACCATCCTGGCCCTCCTCACCATCCTGGAACTCCTCACCATCCTGGCTCTCCTCACCATCCTGGCCCTCCTCACCATCCTGACTCTCCTCACCATCCTGGCCCTCCTCACCATTCTGGCTCTCCTCACCATCCTAGAACTCCTCACCATTCTGGAACTCCTCACCATCCTGGCCCTCCTCACC